TTTTCCGGGTGGAAAATTATACCAATCAAACACACTTGAAATCATTTTCCCTACAAAACATTTTTTAGGCAAATCTTTTCCCTACAAAACATTTTCTTTCCGCCCATTTTCCACCCTTACAATCAAACGCACCCTAAGGGTGTATTTGTCTCCCATTATTGGAAGAAAAATAGAGTAATGAATAGTATTTTTTGGAGAATGTGTGGTTGAAATTTAGTGCCTGTTTGTCAACCATTATTGAGAAGAAAATGGTGTAATGAATAGTATTTTTTGGAAAATGTGTGGTTGAAATTGAAAGAAACTTAGAAACTTTATCGGTTTATGTGTAGAATATTTTATTATTTGAATGTGTGGTAGAGATTGATTACTGTAGAAAATAATTTTTTGAAAAATGGTAGACAAACAGGGGCTATCTTTATTGGTTTGTGTGTAGAATATTTTATTGGGAGAATGTGTGGTGAAGAATATTACTGTAGCAAACAATTTTTTGGAATAATGGTAGACAAACAGGGGCTAAATTTTAATCTAAATGAAAGGACTCAACTTTTTTTTCGAAGTACGACAAAAAAAAAGTGCTTCTTTTTTTCTTTTTCTTATTAAAATTTTGTTAGTGGGTGCAAAAGATTATTTACGGGCAACGGCCCATCAAACAGGATGTTCCATCAGTTGTCCACTGTTCTGGTCCCGTCACTCACACCACGGTCCAATAGTTCAAACAAATCAAATTCGTCGATTAACATATGGGTCTCGTGTGTGGACCAGATTTGGCTCAGAGCTAGTGGATCAACGGTTATCGAGCATTCGGGCCAGCAGGACCATGAAGTCAGCGGTCAAAGCTCTGTTTTAAATTTTAATGGACTGATGGACACTGCAATGTCCGTACACTGCGAAGCATGAGATTCTTTTTGGCTATCTTGTCATCACTGACATTTGGGATGTGGTGGCATGGCGTCATCATTCTGCATTTGATTGATGAATAATTGTCATTCAAAGTTAGAGCTTGTTTGGTAGAACTTAAAATCTAATGAAAATTGAAAATATAACCGTTATTGGATCTTACTTGTCTAATAAAAGTCAACAATAACTGCTAATTTTTCAATTTTAATCCGATTTTAATCTCTACCGAACACGCCCTTAATAATTGATTATTTTTTTTTGGAAAAAGCTATATGTACTATACACTTTTCCTGAATTGTTTACTTCCTACTGACATGGCACTCTCAGTCAAACATAACGGTAGCTTGGGAGAGAGAAATCACGTGATAATCTTGCTCTGTGAAATAAACTCCCAAAATTGAAAATTTTCACCTCCTCCCCTTGCACTCCTCTCTCACGATCCATGTAATCGTCGGCACACCAACGGCGAAATCAAACATGTGAAATCGAGGGTCGAAGTCATACCAATGAAATCAAACCTCCTCCAAATTTATTACGGGTCGCCTGAGATAACTGTGAAATCGCCGACACATTTTTTGTGAAATCAACATTGAGTTGTGAGGGATTCACCTACATCGATGATATTGTGAAGGGTTGTTTAGCAGCATCAGACACCTCTGAGAAGAGTACTGGTAGCGGTGGCAAGAAGAAAGGGCCAGCTCAATTACGGCTGTACAATTTGGGCAACACATCCCCTGTTCCTGTTTCAAATCTTGTGAGCATTTTGGAGAGATTACTCAAGGTGAAAGCAAAGAGGTTGATTATGAAGTTGCCAAGGAATGGGGATGTGCATAATTAATTTGCTCATTGATGGATAATTGGATATGTTCTTTGTGTTTTTTTTTTTTTTTTTTCCTGTAGCTTATGAAGACAAAATTTGGTAATTTCTGTGTTGGAAGTTAAGAAATGCCGAAAGGATTTCTTAATCGAATAAGAAGATTTCAAGAATGTAAAAATTAGAAACTATCTAGCAGTATACTTTATGTTCCTTCCACTTCAATTTAGACTTTTCTGATGCGAAGTCAGTTGGGCTAATTTACTGGTTCAAGTAAATATTTTTGCCTTGTTTGAAGTCTGTTTGTAATAGAAAAATTACTTGACAATATACTCTTAACCAAGCATGTTCAAAGAAAAGAAAAAAAGAAAATGCAAGAAAATAGATTGGTGAAGTTTCGGACGAGAAAAAGATTGGTATCTTGGCCATGTCCAAAACCACTCAAAAGAACCCACTTCTTACTTCAACAACACAAAATCAAAACAATCACTCTTTTATAGCCAAACATTGAACAAGAAGAAACAAACTATGGCCTATATTCTGCCAAATCTTTCTCCAACTCTGCTTCAATCTAAAGAAAAATCCCTGACTATTGTTTTTCACCAACAATGTTCTTCTTCTCCTCTTAGTTCCCCATCCCCAGTGTTAAGTTCTTCTGTTAATACTCATACCAAGCTTGAGCCGCCTCCACCTCGGGGTCTAACGCAGGTGAACCGGACCCCAGGTGCGCAGGATAAGAACCAGAACCAGAAGGATGAATTTTATGTTAACCTAGGTTTAGCTGTACGGACACTTCGTGAAGACCTTCCTTTAATCTTCACCAAAGACCTTAATTATGGAATTTACAGGTACCCTCTCAGCGTCAGCGTGTGGGGGGGAGGGGGAAAATAACGGGTTCGTCGACATGTGGTCTTTGTCGTCCAAGTCGCCGGCGATCGATTGAGTTTTCTTGCTGCTCCATTTTCGCCGGACTGGGGAGCTTTTTCACTTTGGAGCTAACGAATGGAAATGACGGAGTTGTTAGGAAAATGGCGTCTTTTAATTGATTCTCTCTCTTTTTCTTTTTTATATTTCTGTGTTGAATTGTCAAAGCCCAGCCACGTCAGCAGTAAGTAAAGGGTGTAGTAATTCCGTGAGTACGTCTAGCACGGTCCTTTTTTTTATTTCGTGGATTTTACGAGGATGCAATTGTCTTTTCAAGTTAAGAAAAACCTTGCTACAATTTGTTTCAACTAAAAAAAGATTAATATTTAAATCAAAGTCAATAATTTTAATTATGTCCTTGTTTGGTTTTCATTATTTTCAAAATATATTTCTCTCCTATTTTTAACCACACATTTTTCAATAAAATAATATTACACACAAACTCAATTTTCTATTTATTTTCTAACCACACATTTTCCAACAAAATATTATTCCAATTTTTTATTTTTTAAAAAAAAAATGGAGCTCAAACGGGGTCTATATATTTCGTTGAACTCACATACTTGGAGTCATACATTCTATCAAATTTTATTAAAAATCTAATTTTTATCCCGTGGCGAAAGTACTTGTTTCAACAAAAAATGATTTTAAAGCCAAATGAGGCTGCAAGGCAAACTTGATGAGCAGCCTTTTAACCAAACAAAGAAGGAAAGTGCAAGGGCCCAATGGGCCACTTCGAGAGTTGAAAGGGAAAAATTCATATCTAAGGTGTATTCTTTACCTCATTTCAAAAGTTAGGTAAATAGTTTGAAAATTCAAAAATTAGGTATGAATTTAATTAATTAAAAATATTTATTAAATAAAGATAATAAAGTCACAATTTGTGATTAATGGTCACATATTCATAATTATAAGTTACAGATTTATTTACTGGTCACATATCGTCAAATTTTTTGATCCCAGATTATTTCGAGGTCACATATCAAAAATTTTTTTAGTCACAGATTATTTCGAGGTCACAGATTTTTAAATTAATTGGTTACAGATTATTTTTGAGTCACGTATTATTAAATTTTTAGATCACGGTTGAGTAATTGGTCACAGATATTACCAAACATTTAGTCACATACTACCGCCGCTTGATCAAAGGTCACAGATCGATCAACACAAACTAACCAGCCACAGAACATACGACATGACGAAAACTGAACCCCAACAACAACAGATCCGCCACCACCAACAGCCAACCACCAATCTGCCACCCCACAGATCTGCCAACATCAAACAACAGCCAATCAGCCACACCCACGACGTCGAAACAACACACCCGCACACCCCAACAGCGTCGCATAACACACCCACTACTACGCCACGGCAAAATCACAACCACAAACCACCACACCCACAGCAGTGTCGCGATGCTGCTGTGGGGTCGCAGCAACGTCTCACGCTGCTGCGATTCTAGATTTCACGTCGCAGCAGAGGGAGGACGCTACTGCGATTCGCGATTTCACGTCGCAGTAGAGGGATGGGGATGGGGATGGGGAGGTGGAGGGCAGAGACGAGACGAAAGAAAGAGGGGAGGCGAGGCGAGAGAGAGAGAGAGAGGAGAGGGGGTAGAGTGAAAAATTAGGGTTAAGAGTTTTTATATATCACCTGATTTTTTAAGAATGAAACTTGGTCCCAGATTTTTGAATTTGAAACTTTAAACACCTGCCTCCATGTAATTTCCTCGAGTTGAAATTGGGACTGGGAGTTGAGCTGAGGCCCCGCAAACGTAGACCCCATTGCCACAAAACCACTTGAACCGATCTTAGACGAGCGCCCATTCAAAGTGCAGCGGATTAGACTTTAAAATATTAAGCCCATGTTTGGTCCGGATTAAAATTTGATTTTAATCCAAATTAAAGTCAAACAATCAATATTAACCATATCTTTCATGGGTTCCACAACTTTTCAACCACACATTTCAAAAACTTCTATCACAATCTACTAAAAATCTAATTTTAATATCCACCAAACACACTCAAGTATTGACTGATTTGTCAAGCATAAGGAAGACACCACACAGGTGACTTGTTTAGGCTCTTTTGGTCTGCGCCTTTACTATTAATGTCTGAAATTTATCATTTGTGGATCTCTTCATAAGTTACATAACGCTTATTGTTGGAACGATGCGACTAAATCGAGTCTTGATTCATATTTCTTCAACCAACATTCGTCCCTTAATTGCTGTCTCAATAAACAAGTACCACTAGTAAGAATAAGATGTGGGCCACGGGCTCTAAACCCTGTTGTGGTGAACGAGTAATAAACATGAAAAACAATATTTATTTTATCGATTCAACTTATAGGTTTACATAACTTGTTCATGTTCACTATACAATATTCAATAGAATCCGACAAAACGAGTGATAAAATTTTACTTATTTCTCGTGTAATGTTGTTGGAACGATGCAAGCCAAACTTGGTCTCGGTTCATATAACTGCAATCAACAGGTGTAGGCTACGAGCTCTAAATCCAAAGGCATTGTTGTCAAAATCATTGATGCATTCTCTTTACTAATTCAAGGATTCAACCATTTCTGGATGACTTGTTCACCTAAATTAACTTGAAAAACACAATTATTCCACATTTTTGGTCGTAGTTGGTACACATTCCTTTTTTAAATATTAATACATTAGACTTTGAATTTCACGTACAATTATTTGAACTTGACCGTGCCCGCAGGTTGTCTTCTACATCTAATTTCAATCTCTTCCATCGATGGCTACCGTCTGTCATAGCCCAAACTTCTGGGGAATTCTCTCAGAAACCAAGCGCATAATCAGCGCCAACTCCAGTAATTACTTAGCCCTCTCCATCCTCTTCCTCCTCCCTCTCTCTTTTTCCTTCGTCCTCTACCCATTCATATTCTCCTACTCTGCACCAGACCCCACAATCCCATCACCCCAAAAATCCAATCTCGTTATCGCTCTTTACGTTTTCATCCAGTCCCTTTTCTCTATTTTCGCCACCGGCTCAATTACTTACAGCACCTTCCATGGATTCAATGGTAGACCCGTGAATTACCTTTCCTCTATAAAGTCTATCTTGTTCTCGTTTTTTCCTCTTCTTGCGACTTTTATAGCTTACCAGATCGTATTATTTATCATTTTCTATTTCATCTGGCTTGTGGAGGTTGTAGTATCGAACTATTCGCTGGCTTTTGTTATTTGTATGACGATTTTGATTCTGGTGGTGACATTTTACTTGCAAGTGGAGTGGTCGTTGGCGTATGTGGTGGTGGTGGTAGAATCCAAGTGGGGGTTTGAATCCTTCAAGAAAAGCTCACACTTGATTAAGGGGATGAAATGGATCGCGATATCATTAATATTGTACTATGGGATTACAGTAGGACTTTTAGCTTCTACTGCATATTTCGGTGGCAATAATGGCGGCTCGGGATTCATAATTCAGACACTGTTCGCGATTTTTATGACAGCACTGATGCTACACGGCATTACTGCCTACACAGTGCTGTACATGTATTGCAAGGTTTTACATGGAGAAATGCCATTTGAGATTGCAGAGGAGTCTGCTGCAGCAGATTATGTTAGCTTGCCTATTGACGATGGACGAGTACCTCATGTTGTCTATGTTGTATCACAATGATACAATCTTCACGTTAGAAGTGTTGGAAATTTACTTAATCATACACAGCGAAAAATAAAACAGATTTCATTTGCTTCATGTTTAGATATAAATTGTAACAGAAAATGTACCTTTGTTGAATTCTGCAAACTCATTTACTTATCATGAATACGAACAATCACGATCTACAATTCACATCTATCCAATTATCCAGCTTCCGATGAAAATCCACACATGAAATAAGAATGAGAAAATTATGATTTCTTTTTTCTTGTGCTAGCAAGAATATGAATCGTGTTCCGTTATGATTTTTCAAACCCTAGCAGTCTATTAATAAAAGTCCAAGTGGGTTTAACTCATTTTTTAAATTTAACATGATCCAATATTTCTACAATCAAATTAATTAAATTTGATGCATGAATTAATTAATTCATGCATATTAACAAGCAATCCAATTAATTAATTGTCCAGCACTTGTTAAATAATTAATTGGTGAATCTCATTTTTCTAGTTCTTTTTTTATGTATGATCCATTAGATACTCGATCACGATAATGACTTGAATTATTATTTTGATCAAAATCTTTAAATTAAAATACTCCATTTTGATTTATCACCAATTCAAGTTTGTCGTCCCAAATTGACATCTAACAATGTGTCAAGGCAGATATGGATATGTGTCATTCTCAATTATCGATCATACTTTCATCCCACTATTAAGTCAATGTAAGTCGAAAACTCTTTTTTGACTTATTAGTACACATTGACCAAGGATTTCGTTATCAACTTAATTGAATGAAATATATATCATAATCTCTTATTATCTAAGAGTGACAAATCCTTTATTGATCATTCACAACCTTCATATGAATCTTGACATACCCGAACGATGCTGTATTAGCGACCCTTGACAGAGCAACATCCAACATCACCAAAGTATGACTGCCCTCATATAAGGTACTATGATGACCTCAAGTCAAAGGGCCAATTCCACTACCGAACGTTAGAGATTAACCACTAACACTTAGATAGTTATCCATGTGGAATCTCNGAAGTAAACAAAGATTTATGCGTTGGTGTAATTTTTTTGTTTAAACATTTTAACTTAATTAAAATGCACAAAAATATTGATTGACATTTCAAATAATGGATGAAAATTAGGGATGAACAATTTCACATATTGATCACCTTTAAGTCAATTCAAGATTCAAGAGCCTAATGTAGTGTTCGATCGAATTCTTCTTTGGTATTCAATTTACCACTCTCGAGTTCTCATTGAACTTATTTAACTATTTCAATCCCATATTTCTATGCGAATCTACCTTAGTTAAACGAAATATTAGTTTTAAGAATTCATATATGATCGCAATATTCAGTATAGATATCTCTACACGCTATATTAAATTATCGGATTTTACTATATGTCTAAATCTCAAACTCACCTCTCGATTCGTAAAAGATTCACAAAGTCATCAAATTAGTGATCAAGTAATTTAATGCATTAAACTTATAGTAAAATCAACACATGAACGATAAAATACCAAGAATTTTGAATAAAAGATATAAATGTTTTCAAATCGATTACATCGTTTGCCCTAATATAAAGTTTAGCTATTCATACTAAATGAAAAAGAAAAACTAAAAGTTGATATTGAGTACATCACCGGATTTTGAATATAGATGTAGAAAAAGAAATAAAGCTTGCACCAAGATCTTCTTCTTCAAATCAATGTTTCAAAGCTTGAATTCCTTGATGTTTTCCTCTCTTGAATTGTGCTCTTAATCTCTCTTTGCATCTTTGTTTTCTCAATACGTGGAACCCTTAAGATTTCCCCATTTCTTCTATTTATACTCCTCTACATGATTTTCTAAAAATTGGAGTCTTTCTGGGCTTTTTACGTCCCAAAACAACATAACCCTAAAATTTGCGGTGCAACGCCTAGGCACCGCAATGACCTTTGAAGCAGTGCCAAAGCGCTATGGTTGCAGTGCCCAGGCACTGCTGCATTGTTGAAAATAAGCAGCCATGTAGCGCCTAGGCGCTGAGACGTTCCAAATTCTACGTCTATTTCAGTATTTTTGTCATAAATTTTTCTCCATATATCTGATTAATGCGATTCAAAATGTGTTGGAAATTTAACTTAAAGGGATACAACTTTATTAGAAATAGCTGTTTTCCAATTCTTATTTTTACTAGACCAAAAATAGGTCTCAATCTCCAACTGAAAATCTGGAACATTCTTGTGCGGTTGAAAAATTGATTTGTGAAAATATTTTGGTCATATTTCACTCTTTTTGACTTCTAATTGCCTCTATTTGACCCATAGCACTCTCGAATCTTCATCGTGAGTTTCGGCACAAATTCTGAATATTTGTATTTTAGTCCCTAAACTTTGGATCTTGCCAATTTTCGCCAATTTTCACTATTTTCTTCAGTTCTTCATCAAACATAAAGTTTTACCTACAAATATGTAATATAACATAAACTAGGTAGAAATTTATCGAAAAAATAATAAAATATCATCATTTAGAGTCTCGAATAAGTGTAGAAACTACACTTTTCAGTAACATCCAATATCAACAAAGTATGACTATCATTATATAAGGTACTATGATGACCTCAAATCATAGGACCAATTCCACTACCTAACGTTAGAGATTAGCAATTGTCACTCAGATAGTTATCCATGCGGAATCTCCCCGTAGGTCCCCAATATTTTGTTCTATAACAAAATATTCACGTGTTCATTTAAATTTCACCACACTTTAGCTTGTAAGATCAGGTACTCATTTCAAAAGTGAGAAATACCACACATAATGATCTAATATTGTAATAATGATATCAGTATCTTGTTATTACTTACGACCATAAATAATTCAAGATTCAGCCATATGCAATTTGCCTCTCACAATCATAACTATTTGTGATTAACGAGTTATTAAGACTTGTATCTTCAGATTCTATTATTTAATTTATTAGAATATTAACTCAATTAAATAATAGATCTGCCATAAATTAAATGTATCAGTTATATATATATTAAGAGCATTTATGTCCAAAGTTGATTGGACCTAGAGTATAATACTTACAAGTAGCTGAAACTTTTCAACATTCTATATATGATTCTTGTGTATGATAATGAAGTTGTAATAGAATATGAGACTTATGAATCTCTACTCTGCTAAATGTTACTGATGTTTCTGTTTCTTCATTGTATGTTGCATAGATACTTTTGTTTTATTATATGAAGAACAAAATTTGTGTTGTCTAAGTGAGCCTTTTGCCATTGCAAAAGTTTGAAGTTCCATACGTACATTGTAAGGAATGTACCGTCGAAGTATGAGTATGCAATTTAGTGGTTCGATTATCGGTATTTTGAGACCCTAGCTCAAGAAGTTGTATACAAGTCAATGAGCAAATAATAATACTTTCGGGTAGTTTTGTTAGGCCAATTGAACTTTGGAGTATTGGAACTTAGGAAGTTATGTGTAGTTTGTACATTTACTTTGAGTGTTGACAAAAGACATTGTACAGATAACTTGGCTAGGCTCTTTTAGTCGATGCCTCTACTAATATATTGTTTTGAAAATTGCATTGTGGCCCAATTTAAAATTATAAATAGACCCTTCCAATTTTAAAATTGCAAACCAACCCTTGAATTAAAATTGTAGGCAATGGCCTGCAATTTCACAAATTGCACAACAGGCCCCTACCCCATATACCTCACCTGATTAAAAAACCATAGAAAAAATTATGGGATGACGCTCGCTGGCGCCGTCCCTCGACGGCGGGTAAAAGCACGTCGCTTCGCCTTTTGCAGTTGCTATTAATGCCGCTACTACAACGAAGGTGATGATCAACTGCGCAGCGCATCGCAGCGCACGACTATCGCGAGCCGCATGGAACGAGTGCACCGTGCGTTACAGTGTGCTGGCACGCGATGCAACCTGCTGCGCACGCTACCTCCTTGTTCGGCGGCGGTTTGCTACTGCCAATCACCGTCGTTGCCTATAGCTACCTTCCGACCCATTTTCGACCAAAAAAATTATTTTCTATTCAAGAACAGATTTTAGAAAATGAAAATAATTTTCTTTAAAAGCTTGAAACATGAAAATTAAGCAATCAACCACTGATTGTTCTCAAAGGTTCAAAACAATTTTTAATAAACACAAAGTAGGTTCTGATACCACCGTTGAAAATTTACTTAGTCACAGACAACAGAAAATAAAACTATAAAGTTAAGAGCAGTTATTAGACGAAAACATAAATCGATCTTTGACACTGTCTTTTATATAGAAACAACTTAAAATGTTTGAATAAACATATAGAACTTATACTTGTTAGTGCTAATGCAATCCACAGCTGTCCAATTGTCCAGCCTTCAATGAAAATTCACACAGGGAACAAAAATGACAGAATTATGATTTTTTTTTTTTTTGTGCTAGTAAGAATATGATCGTGTTCCATAATGATTTTTCAAACCCTAGCAGCTTATTACTAAAAGTCAAAATGAACTTAGCCTATTTCTTAAACTTAAATCGGTCCATTTTTAATTAATCCTATTAATTAAATTTGGTAGTGAATTAATTAAGCAATTAATTAATTCGAGCCTATTATCAAACAACTCAATTAATTAATTGTCTAACATTTGTTAATTAATTAATTGATGAATCTCATTTTTGTAGTTCTCATTTTGTGTGTAACCCATTATATTCCCGATCACGATACCTAACGACGTGAATTATTATTTTGATCAAAATCGATAAATTAAAATACTCATTTTTAATTTATCATCAACTCACATTCGTCGTCTCAGATTGACATCTAACAATATGTTAGGGCAATACATATGACCAAAAATATCACGTGGTATGACTAAATCAAATTTGTTCGTTTATCGTGAAATCATAATCTTTTCGTCAATATGATCCGATCAATTACGAGATACGGATGTATGTCAATCTCAATTATCGATCATATTTTGCATCCCACTATTAAGTCAATTTAAGTCGAAAACTATT